GGGGCCGCCACCCGGGGCGGCGCTCCAGCAGGGGCCTGGGGTCGCCGATAAGAGCCCGGGCGTGCCGGTATCTTAGCTGAAAACCGGGGAGACGCGCCCTGCCGGAGGGGGTGGAGCTACTACTGGAGATCTGGGGTACCCACAGTCTTGAAGTGTCCCCAGAACCCTCTGCTGGGGGAACCACTGTTGGCGTGTGACTTTGTTTGCCTTGGGATGTTTGCAACTCCAGTGGCCGCACAGAGCGGCACTGCTGCGTAGGTTTTCAAGGCTCCGGCCTCTCAGATCGCCAGGCCTTGCTTCCTCCATGCCTCTCGGTATTTGCACCAACAATCATTTCATTGGTAGTCAACTGTTTCACCATTCGCACCACCCAGGGACTCCCCATAACTGTTCCCAGCCCCGTGTAACAGGGGCGCCGGTCCAGCCCCCGCCCTTGGACTCTGGACCGGTGGCTGTAAACCCCACGGAGGAAGGACAATACTTTGGGGCTCAGATTCTGGGCTCTGCGTCCATCTGCTCTGAAATGACGGTTCACGCTGAGGCAAGTGTGAGGCTAAATGGTACAGACAGGGGGGCAGTTAGACAATTAAGCCATTTCCTGTGGTCTCTCACATGATCCACAAAAGTAGCTGAATGGTGGACCTGTGATTTGTCCCCAAACCCTTGCCTCTGAAGACCACCCACTCACTTCTCTAGCAGAACTGGCAACCTTCCAATCCCAGAAGAGGTAGGACCCAACAGAGGCAATGGCTCTTGGGGGTGTCACATGACGCAGGCAGGGCCAATCAGTGCTGTTGGAAGAACAGGTGTACACTTCCCCTGGCTTGGAGTTTGGGGGTGGGTAGGGGGCACTTCATCCCTATCCAGGTTTGGAAGACAGGGCACATTGGACCTCAAACTTGTCCAAACTCCTGGATACAGCCTGGCCTGAATCCATCACAATGGACCTCTCAGCTCCCCCTAAGAACTGCCTAGACCCATTGTCATCCACTGCATAATAGGACAGTAGAACTGTGCCCTGGGGCTTCTGGGAACATAACTGGGAGCGGACAGCCTCGTCTTACTCCTGCTGAGCAGTGGTGGGTTCAAACCCACCAGGGTTCCTGACCTGCAACCAAGAGGATCCCAGTGAAGACAAGTGGACCAGGGTTCCAAATTCTCAATTTTTAAAATTGTGTGGGGAAACAAGAGCTTACAGTGGACATCAACTGGGAATGGGGTATCAGTTGGGGAATGTGGAGGGTGGGTACCCAAAAGCTTAGGACCCCCTGAAATGCCCTGGGAGCCTCCTGGAACACCTCCCCCAACCCCCTCGGGGTTCCAGAGAGGCCGATTTGAGAACTCTGGCTTCCGGCCACACAGGAAAGCTGAGGGCTCCGGCAGGCTCAGACAGTGGCTTCGACCTCGGTGCCCTCGGCCTCCTCCTCCAGCAGGCTGTAGGATGCGTGGCTCTGGCAGGGCCGCTGCAGTGGGTGTGCCAACAGCTTGGCCATGCAGTTGTGGAGCTCCAGGGCCGGCCCAGCCAGTGCTACCTCGTACTTGTAACTTGTGCCCTTGGTATCCAAGCTACCCATGAAAGCAAACATGTCCTGGGGGCAGGGCAAGGAGAGACTGATCAGCCGGGGGGTTCCCCTGAACTGGCCCTTCCTGCTCTAGAGGGGCTTCCCAGAGAAGAGAACCTCTAGGGTGGGTCCTGAAGCATAAAGTCTTTTGTGGCATTTGGCAACCATGTCCTGTCACCTGCCCAGTCCTCCCCTCGAGGTCAGATGCAAACACCCCCTAACCCTCCTGCTGCTCTTCCGTGAGAAACAGGGAAGCCTTCTAGGAGGAGGGCCTTTTGAGTTGGGTATGGAAGGGTGGACAGAAGTCAGTCTCCACTTTGTGACGGCAAAACTGCAGCTCAGAGAGGCAAGGGGCCCACTTGTGCTCCCACAACTAATTCAGGGCTCGGGTAGGAAGGACTAGCAGAACCTAGGCTGGGTGGGGAGGCAGGGTATTCCAGGCAGATGGCCCAGGGAAGACTCAGAAAGGGAGGCCCAAGGAGAAGAGGCTGAGGAGGGAGATGGACCCAGAGAGGCTCCCCAGCCCAGTGTCTGGGGGTGGTCACCCTGGGCTCACAGCGCCCACGAAAGCAATGGTGCCGGTTGATGGACTGGTATGCTCTCACGGGGCCAGGGCTCCAGGGTTGGCACGCAGAGGTGGGATCCCCCTGGAGGGCAGTCACCTAGCCCGCTGTGGCACCTCACCTTCCAGCTCATCTCCTCCTCCTTCTCGTCGCCGCCATTGTGGATGTACACCACGTCGAAGAAGAAGTAGGGGCACTGGAACATTTTCTGCAGGGGAGGAAGTGTGCCAGCCTCGGCCTCCAGTCCCCAATTCTGAACCTGCCCTCCCGCTGCCAGCGGGAAGTCCCTCCTGGTGTCTGACCACCACCACGCTCACCGCGGGTATCCCTCCCTCTCCTGGGCCTCCTCGCTCACCTTCATGGGCTCTGTCAGGGAGAACTGGGGCTGGCAGGGGGGCCGGCTGTAGACCAGGATGGTGCGGACCACATACGGGGGCGGGATCGTCTGCACGTTCTCAGTGACTGGCAGCTCTGTCTTCTGCTGGCTGCAGAGTTGGGGAGTGGGCAGGGACAGGTCAACACATACTCCAGGGGTCTGCTCTGCTCATCACCCCCGGAGAGAGCCCACCTCCTCACCAAGTATACAAAAGCCCTCCCAGGTTCAGGGCCGTCTCCTAGCCCCTCACCTGGCTGTTTCTTCTGCTTGTTGCCCCTCCTCTGCCTCACCTACTACTCCACTGAGCTTTTCGCAGTAGAGCCTGGAGCCTGCTCGGTCACCCTTAGGAGCCCCAAGTGTCTGCCATCGCGGGTGAGCTGGAACTGCTAGTGACGTCTGCCTCCTCCGTGGAGCAGGGACCAGATCTATGCTAAGTCAGTGCCCCATGTAGATTCCACCCTGCCTGGGCAAAGGAAGGGGCCTTAATATGTAAAAAGCAGGCCTTATCAACAAGGGAAAGACAGACACCATCACAGAAAACGAGGCAAAGGCTACAAATAGTCAAACAGCCAGAGGCATATTCAATGACTTAAAAATGAACATAAAGGGAAATATCGATCAGTGTCATGTTCTATATATTTTTGAAACGTCTTTTTTTTTTTTTTAATGAACAAAAAGAGGCTCGAGGAAATTTTTAGCCAAGCAGCCAGCTGCCTTCCCCACCTTCAGGGGCGGGCCTTCCAGCAGCAGCAGCAGCAACCCCAGTGTTGAGGAAGCCGTGGGGGGACTTGGCCTCAAGTGCAGACACTCAGGTGGGGTTAACTTCTGGAGAAAATGCTTTGGTGAAAGAGCCCAGCAGAATCAGAAGCAGGGGGCTCCCTGATCTGGAATGTCCTCCTTTGGGAATTTACCCCCAGGACTCATTTTTAAGACAGCCCGGTGGTTGTTCCAGGCGGAGATGGAGGGGAGAGGTGAAACCGGGGAGGAGGTTCACACAGGGCAGCAACCTGACTCATTTTTGACCTTTTGAAAAGGAGGGAAAAAATTTAGAAGTAGGGGAACCGATTATAAGGATCTACATGTGACCTCCTCCCTGGGGACAGACAACAGAAAAGTGTGTGAAAGGAGATGTCGGACAGGGCAAGCTATGACAACATAATTTATAAATTATCAAGGGTTCATGAGGGAAGGGGTGAGCGGGGAGGGAGGGGAAAAATGAGGAGCTGATGCCAGGGGCTTAGGTAGAGATCAAATGTTTTGAGAATGAATGTAAAAATGTGCTTTACACAATTGATGAATGGATTGTGATGAGTTTTATGAGTCCCTAATAAAATGATCAAAAATTTTTTTTAAGTAGATGATTTCACAACAGAGTGAAAAGCCTCAGAAAGGTGAACGTGTGTGAGGGAGAATAAAGTTTTATTGGCACACCTCTCTGCCCGGGGTGATCTATGAAACCAGAACAGAATGAGGTGCTGCAACAGAGCCTGTCAGAACTGCCCAGGCTGCACTCTGAATCATCTGCCTTTGCACGGAAAAGACTGCCAACCCCGGATTAAAACAAGCCAACAAGCCGGGGTGGTGGTGGTGCACTGGAGGAACATGGGGGAACGTGACGGCACTGAGACTTGAGAAAGAACCTCTTTGGCCTAAAACGTTCAGGCAGAGAGCAGACTGGTGGGGAGGCCTCGGGCAGCCTTGACCACAGCTGTGCCTTTGGGTCCTGTCCCCACTGGGCGACCTTCCTTCTAAGGGGACCCTACTTTCTCCTCAGGGACTTACATGAGGCTGAAGAGGCCTTCCAGGTCTGGCGGGGGTGTCAAGGAGAAGGCAGGCAGCAGCACAGGGGTGGGCAGGGCCCTGGCCCTGACCCTGACCCTGACAAAGTCCAGATCCAGGCACATGTCTGCCCGAGATGAAACTTGTGACCCAGGCCAAGGGGCTGGCTCTCTCTGGCCAATTCCCCTCAGCGTGGCTCGAGAAACAGGGAAGTGGCACAGGGGAGCCTGAGGGCTTTGGGGGGCCTGAGGCTCCCTTCCCTTCAGGGAGGGAACACAGCTTCCACAAAGCAAGAGCGAAAGTCCCATCTGTCTCACGGCTCTCAGCCCCCTTCCACCCTCCCCTCTTACCCCCAACCGTGCTACTTTTTTCAACCTGAGGGGACCGGGGATCAGTCTCAGTTTGGGGAAAGACTCTGGTAAAGACAAATGAAGACAAGACTTTAATGTCCAACTACAGTCCCTGGGTGGTACGCTCGGGTTCAAAGGTGGAGAACCAAGCCCAACCCGAGGCACCTCAGAAGCAAGTCTTGGTGACCTGTTACTGATTTTAATAAAGAAATCCCAATATTAACCACTGTGAGGATGGCAATAATGCTTATGTGTCAGTCAACTGCCCACAGAGGGAGCTGAACCATTAACTTGGCCCAGGGCGTGCTGTGCCTGAGAGGAAGTGCAACTTTTCAGTCTCCTGCGGCCGTTCTGAGCACCTGCTGTCTACCTGGCTTGAGTAGTGGTTATGTGTTGGGCAGCTAACCCCAAGGTCAGCAGTTCAGAACCATGGGCCACCCCTGCAAGGGACACGGATGAAGCTTTCTACTCCCGCCTGCAGTTAAGTCTCAGAAACCCACAGGGCCAGTTCGACTCGATGGAGCTGCCGAGTCAGCATCGACCCCATGGCGTGGGTTGGGGTTTTTACTTCTTTTTAGTCATCCTTGAGCCCTGGTGGCACAGTGGGTCGCGCATTGGGCTTCTAATCACGAAGTCAGCAGTTCAAAGCCGTTCCCCGGGAGAAAGCAGAGGCTGTCTGCTCCTGAAGAGATG